AAATTCTTTATTAATATATACATACTGAGATATACTCACTGAAAAATTATGGCGTAATTTTTTTCCGTACACAATAAAAAGTTAAACCAATGCTTCGCCTTTGGGTCGTGCCTATTATGAAATACAGTAAAGAGAATAAATAAAACAATTTACAGATAGGTGAAAATCATATAGATAGATAGATAGATAGATAGATAGATAGATAGATAAATAACTTTATTTAAACACGGTTAAAATTCCTTCAGCATGTACAAAAAATCAAAGATCTATTATGCCTAACTAAACTAACTCTGATTAAAAATATATTCATGAAATTTTAACTACCTAGCTGTTTACAAATAAAAGCTGCTTTTCAAGGATGCCGTGTAAAACTGTATTAATGTATGATCTCATTCAAAATTTTTGCGACACAGTTTGCGTTTAAAATCATGTAAAGAATCTGCAGATCTTAAATCATGGGATAGGCTGTTCCACAGCTTAGCTCCACTATAGGAGAACCTTTTCTTTAAATAATTGGTACGGGGCAGTGGAAGGACTAATTTATTTTCAGCATTCCTCAATCGATAAGAAGTTATTTCGTCACGAGATACAAATTTAGATGTTAGATAGTCGGGAGTCATCCCATGTACGGTTTTATACATCATAATAGCTGTCGATACTTGTCTTTGGTGTTTAAGCTTACGCCAACCCAGTGCCAGGAACAAATCGTCCACATTACAATCAGAATTGGCGGACATTAGAATACGGGCTGCACGATTTTGGAGCCTCTGCAGCTTATCGGAAAGACCAATGCCGCAGTTGCTCCATACGACATTACAGTAATCAAAATGCGGTTGAATTAAACTGCCGTAAACATTAATTAATACATTAAAAGGAATAAGATGTCGTATTCTTTTAATTGCACCCAAAGCAGAAGCAACCTTTTTACAAATACTCTGTGTGTGGCATTCCCAGCTTAAGTTTTGGTCAATATGCACTCCAAGAGATTTTGCCGTTGACACTTGCATCACGGGATGGTCGTTTATCATAAAAGAAGGAGTTTCAGAAAGCTTTGATAGCTTCTGACTTGACCCAACTAACATAAACTCAGTTTTAGACAAGTTAAGGGTCAGTTTGTTAGCCGATAGCCATATATACACCTTATTTAAATCGTCGTTAACGCAGTCATTTATGAGTTTTAAATCTGCGCTGGCATAGGTTAGGCTGGTGTCATCGGCATACATTCTAGGTTGTGAAAAATGCAAGCAATTAGGTAGGTCATTAATATACAGTAAAAACAATAAAGGTCCAAGAATTGTTCCCTGGGGAACACCACATGTAACTAATTTTGGGTTTGACATTGAGCAATTAATTTGGCAAGTTTGGGTACGATTGATTAAATACGAAGTAAACCATTCGTGACAGGAACCGCGTAATCCATAATATTGTAATTTCGTTAATAAGATATGATGATCAACTGTGTCGAAAGCCTTTTTTAAGTCTAAGAAGACAACGGCATTGACAAGGCCACGATCAACGTTCACTGCCCAGCTATCGGTAGCTTCGAGTAATGCGGTTACAGTAGACTGTAAAGAACGAAAACCAGATTGGTAACGGGATAGAATACGATTCTCAGTAAGATAGTGATACAACTGGTCATAGACTACCCGTTCAAATACTTTGGCCACGACTGGGATCACCGATATTGGGCGATAATTGGTGGGATCATTTCGTTTACCAGAATTTTTATACAATGGAGTAACCCTAGCCGACTTCCACTCATCGGGAAAAATTCCTGTCAACAGTGATTGATTAAATATTAAAGTAAGAGACTCGGCAATTAGATCAGGGCACTCCCTTAATAATTCAGCTGATATACTATCTAATCCAGTGGCCTTTGATTAACAAAGTTTTGAAAGGAGAGAATAAATATGAGCAGATGTTATTTCCTTGAAGACAAACTCCTTAGAAGTTCCGCAAAGAAACTCTTTGTAGGTGGTATCAACATTCGAAACATTTCGACTAAGCCTTGGTCCAATCTCAATGAAGAAGTGTTCAACAATTCAGCAACGTCTGCTTGATTGCTCGATTTTAGTCCCTGATATTGTATTTCATTTATTATTGTTTTATTAGATTTGCGGGAAGTCAATTCATTAATGGTCTTCCAGGTCTTACGTTGATCACCGGCATAATTATTAAAAGAATTATTATAATAGGCCTTTTTAGCAGCCTTGATTTCCTGATTTACTTTATTTTTGACCTTCCGGAATCGATTCCAAAAGGACGCATCCTTAGTTTTAACAGCTTTTTTCTTTAGCCGGTTTCTGAAATTCATTCGTTTTTTCAAATTTGTGGTAATCCAAGGAGACTTGGTGGGACGGGTGCGTTTAGTTTTCACTGGGGCGTGCTTATCACAAACACTTAGGAATAATTCTTTCCATTTTTTCCACATGTCATTGGGGTCGTTCAGTTCTTTGATATCGTCCCACGGTTGCGTCGAAACATCATTACGGAAATTATTGCTGTTGAAGTGTTTAAATTGTCTATAGCTGATCAAATTGATTCCTTTAGAAACAGGCGGGATTGAAATTTTACGGTATGCGTAAACAAGACTGTGATCGCTTATACCCACGTGTGTCACCCCAGAACAGAGAATATTGTCTTGGTGACTGGTGAAAATAAGATCAGTTAGGGTACTTGTTGAGGGTGTGACTCGAGTAGGCTCGTCGATTAATTTTTTTAAGCCATAAATATCGGTAACATTTAACAGAGCCCTTGCATAAATTAGTATTTACAGATATTTACATATATGAGTATTTACAGATTAAAACTATAAGAAAAATATCTTACTAACAAAAAACCATTGGTTTACTTTATTTGCGTCCTCGAGGACTTCCTGTAATGTTGATTCAGAATTTATAAAAGTTTTATAAATTCTAACTCATCACATTGTCTTAAAACTGCCTGAGCAAATCACCTCACATAGGATATCACCGCGATATGTAGCAGGAACGAAACCGTAAAATTCCGAAAATGAGCCCCTCCATGTATAAGCCCCCCAAACTCGTAACGCAAAAAACCCTCCGTTAAATCGCCCCTCCAAATATAAGACCCCCGGGGGCATGTACTTGGAAATTGCCCTCAAATACAAAGTAGAACAAAACAAAAACGGTAAAATTTCTTGCAACCATAAGGCTAGCCCAATCGGTTTTGAAACGCAAATTTCCCTCCATAGATAAGCTCCTCCAAAAATAAGCTCCTCAAAAAGGGCCTTTGAAAAATATAAGCCCCGGGGCTTATTTTCGGAATTTTATGGTATGACTTCTAAGTCTTTCTTCTCCCTTTAGTATCAAATCTTTATATAACCTATTTCTATAAATTTTATGTACATACCTACCCACTTTATTACTTAGCACCATGCATTGAAATCTAACGAAGATTTTATCTACTTCATAAAATGTAGATATAGACGTAAATGTATCGAAAATGGGCTATACCCTGGGCATTTGTCAACCTGATCGCCGCAAGTGGAAAAAAACTTCTGAAGGTAACTGGGCTATTGACTGGGCAGCTGGATGTATTACAGTACTTATTCGATTAAACGCCGCCCTCGAACAAACGCCGCAGATAGACGCAAAATTACCAATAAACGGCGCACCTAATCAGAAAAATGCGCCATTTACTCGAGGATAATAAGAAAGATATCGGTACAACTTGCTAATTTACACCATCCAGACATTTACGTTTCTATCATAGCGAAACAAGAGAGACATTAGAACCTTTAAATTACATAATACTTACAAACGATTTACAATGACTGTTCAAAAGTGATCTTTTAAATAAACGCCGTCCTTGAATAAACGCCGCATTGGAAACGCCGAAAATTTAATAAACGCCGCGGCGTTTAATCGAGTAAATACGTATACTAAGGACATTGTACAAACGACTAAGTTAAAAACGGTCTTTCTTTCATCTGTTAGCCTGCTCCATGCGTTTAGATAATAGAGCGCGAAATTCAGATGGTGGGGGATGCGAGGTAAATCGTACGCGAGAGAAAACGAGAGGAGACTGGGACGAGAGCGAGGGTTCCCTTCCCTTTACTCTCTCTAGTCTCCCCAACCCTTTTTTTTCCCGTCGCCAGTGCTCTACTAACTGAACGCCAGGAAGATGTTACTCATATGTACTGATCTTTTTCCGCAGTAATTTGTATATTTCTACTCATCTCTGCCTAGCCTGTTCCAAGCGTTTAGGCCCGGGTTGTTCAAACGTCGGATGGCGCTATCCACCGGATAAATCACCATCCAGCGTATAAGTATTGGGGAAACTAATTGCACTATCCACTGCACAGAGATTTATCCGGTGGATAGCGCTATTCAGCCTTTGAACAACCCAGGCCAGATCGTGGGGCTCAGCGCAAAGAGATGTGAACAGAAAAAAATTCAACGACAGGGTGGGACAGAGATGAGAGCGAGCCTCCTCTCTCCCTCTGCCCCTCCCCTTTTTCCTCCAGATTTTTTTCCGCTCTCTTTCTTCGCGCCACTATCCGAACGTCTGGAACAGGCTAATCTCTGCTGTGATCAACTCCTAACGGTGAGATACGGCCTTTGCTTCAAGGTGGTTTACTGCAGGTGTTTTTTTACTCCGTCCAATACTCCTGGTTCGTCTTCTACTTCTTCTGTTCTTTAGATTTTTAATTTTTTTTCTCTAATTTGAGACGAGACTCTGTGAGCACTTCTGTACCTGAAACAATAGGGACACCTGCGTGTGCTGTTTTTTTTTCACTCCACACTCTCCGTTTCATCCTACAAGCGTTCCAGTTCAATGGCATCCTTTTTCTCGGCTTTAACCAGACTAACATCAGCTCCCAGATCAATAAGCTTTTTGACAGCTTGCGCATGACCACATCTTACTGCCATTTGGAGAGGAGTCCTGCCTTCTACGTCGCGGCTCTCTACATTTATCACTCCATACTGCAGCAGGAGATCGATTATCCTATAGCAATCTATGTGACTGAAACGGGCTCATAGGTGCAGTGGTGTGAATCCATATTTATGTTGAATATTTTCATCCCCTTTGTGTTCAAGTAACAATCCAATGAGGTTTACGGCACCATTCATGACTGCCCGGTGTAGGGGTGTATATCCATTGTTATCCTGGATATTTGCATCCGCGTTGCGGTCAAGTAACAATCTACAGATGTTTCCGTGGCCGTCTCTAGTAATCCAGTGCAAGGGTGTATATCCATCTTCATCTTGAGTATTTACATCCGCGTTGTGTTCAAGTAACAACCTACAGAGGTTTTCGTTACCCTCTTTGGCACACCAGTACAAGGGTGTAAACCCCCGATCAATTTGAATATTTGCATCCGCGTTGTGTTCAAGTAACAATCTACAGAGGTTTTCGTCACCGTTTCTAGTACTCCAGTGCAAGGGTGTATATCCAAGATTATCTTGAATGTTTACATCCGCGTTGTGTTCAAGTAACAATCTACAGAGGTTTTCGTTCCCCTTTAGGGCACACCAGTGCAAAGGTGTATATCCTCCACCCTCATCTTGAGTATTTACATCCGCGTTGTGTTCAAGTAACAGTCTAAAGAGGTTTTCGTTCCCCGTTAAAGCACACCAGTGCAAGGGTGTATATCCATCTTCATCTAGAGTATTTACATCCGCGTAGTGTTCAACTAACAATCTACAGAGGTTTTCGTTACCCTCTTTGGCACACCAGTACAAAGGTGTATATCCCCGATCATTTTCAATATTTACATCCGCGTTGTGATCAAGTAACAATCTACAGAGGTCTTCGTTCCCCTTTAAGGCACACCAGTGCAAGGGTGTATATCCTAGATTATCTTGAATATTTACATCCGCGTTGTGTTCAAGTAACAATCTACAGAGGCTTTCGTTACCATCTCTGGCACACCAGTGCAAGGGTGTATATCTACGATTATCTTGAATATTTACATCCGCGTTGTGCTCAAGTAACAATCTACAGAGGTTTTCGTTCCCCATTAAGGTACACCAGTGCAAGGGTGTATATCCATCATTATCTTCAGTATTTTCATCAGCGTTGTGTTCAAGTAATAATCTACAGAGGATTTCGTTCCCTGTTGAGGCACACCAGTGCAAGGGTGTATATCCATCTTTACCTTGAATATTTACACCCGCGTTGCGTTCAAGTAACAATCTACAGATGTTTTCATTCCCTATTGAGACAGACCAGTGCAAGGGTGTAGATCCACCTCCATCTTGAGTATTTACATCCGCGTTGTGTTCAAGTAACAATCTACAGAGGTTTTCGTTACCCTCTCTAGCACTCCAGTGCAAGGGTGTATATCCATCATTATCTTGAGTATTTTCATCGGCGTTGTGTTCAAGTAATAATCTACAGAGGTTTTCGCTCCCTATTGAGGCACACCAGTGCAAGGGTGTATATCCACCTTCATCTTGAGTATTTACATCCGCGTTGTGTTCAAGTAACAATCTACAGATGTTTTCGTTACCCTCTCTGGCACACCAGTGCAAGGGTGTATATCCACCTTCATCTTGAGTATTTACATCCGCGTTGTGTTCAAGTAACAATCTACAGAGGTTTTCGTCACCCTTTAAGGCACACAAGTGCAAGGGTGTGTAGCCATGATTATCTTGAAAATTAACATCCGCGATGTGTTCAAGTAACAGTCTACAGAGGCTTTCGTTACCTTTTAAGAATGACTGGTAGAGGGGTGTATATCCACTAGTATTTTGAACATTTACATTTGCGTTGTGTTTAAGTAACAATCTGACGAGGTTTTCGTGACCTTTGTTGACTGAAACGTGCAGTGGCGTGAACCCATTACTAGTATGGGCATTTACATCAGCTCCATGCCTTACAATTAAGCTTACTGCCATGTAATTGTTCCGGTCAGCAGCTAACATTAGTGGTGTTTCTTTGCTTTCTCCCAATTGGGCATTAACGTCCGCCCCAAGATCAATGAGGGTCTCGACAAACTGACTTGAGGATGAACAGCTCGCCAGCAGCAAAGCTGTGTAATCATTGTTTGATCCTGAGTCATTAATATCTACACCTTCATTTAATACAAGTTCAACTGCCTCTTCAGCATCATCATTGCACGTACCCCATAGCAGCTCAGTCAGTCTGCTGTTGTCCTCGGCCAACTTTTCATAAATCCTTTCGATATCAACATGAAACGGATTTGTTCTTTTTCTAGGTGACAAGAAGTCAACTGCCGTTTTTCCTATAAATTCTTTGGCGTTATTTCCCGTTTCTGTAACTCCAATCTCTTCCACAGAGTTGTCAAAAAGGCCGCTTGCTTCTAAAACAATGTTGTATTTTTCCTCAAAGAAAGCAGCCTGGAGCAGATTAAATCCAGACTGTTCATCCACTTTTAAGAAAGCATTTCTTGAGAGATTCTTTAGACTGACCTATAATAAAAATAGTTACAATATATGCCGTCATCAGTGAAAAAAGGGCAAGTCATTTATAAGAAGAAATATGAGTTCTTCGCACAATTTTGTTAATAACAACTATCAAATTCAGAAAATTTGTAAGGAACCAGGGCGTTACAAATTTTAATTATTGTGATGATTATTATTATTTTTAGGAAACTAACAACGCCAAGATTACTTCTACAATGTTACGTGTCGAGGGGAGAAGCCAACGATGTGTGAGAAAAGTTCTGCAAGCACCAACGGTTATTAGTTTGTGGTTTTGCGGCTGGCTAACGTTTGATTCCTTATCTCGAATGTGACTGATCTTAACAAAATGAACATTTTCAGAATCTCTCTAGCCTTCATTCTTTTCTGAGTCTAACGTGAAAAGCATGAAAACGGCTCGAACTGGCGACAAACCTTATGTGAGAATTGTCAGCTGTTGGTAGAGTTTTGAAAAAAAAAAAAAAACCTTCCGGACCCTTCTCCACCCTCCCAACCAATGGTTTCCTGAGTTAACTTGATCAGCGGGACAACATTGTTTAGCGGGTAGGGGAGGGAAGGATTGCTTTTTCCATATTTGAAGACAGTGTCAGCAAATTGTAAATAACATGTTGATTTTGTTCCATTTGAGGAAGTTTCAGAAATTTGACGGCGGCTATCAATGTGGAGGTATTTGAATGACGTCACTGGGTTCTCTCAGCGAAAGCCACAACCCATAATATCGAGATTACATTGACAATAGCCTGAAATCATGCCCTCTCCCTATTATCCCTTAATGTCTCTCACGGAAAGAGGGCATGATACATTTCTTTGTCGGATCACATGTAAAAAAGCCAGAATCTGGACTTTTTTCTGATTGGATAGGAAAAAATACGGATGATTTGCGCTGATCCAATTGGCCAAAATGCCGCCATCCGTTAGCTGTTGTTGATTTCAGTCTGCATTTTTGCTTGCGTAATGAGCAGTGAATACAGACGCGAGTTCGTTATAAAATTTCTGCCGGCTCACTTTTCTTGAATTTGAAGAATGCCTAAATAGAAATTTCATCCATTGAAATATTTTCCATCTCATCGTATACTAAAAAGTTGCAGTCAAAAATTCACCGATCATGTGAATGCATTTTGATACCGGCTACAAGTTACAGAAGCGACAAACGGGTTCACTTTTCAAATAATCAATTTATCAAAGGAATCTTGACCTGGTTTGACTGTACTTCTTCCTTCAGAAACCTGCGAATTGTTCTGAGCGATCTTCGCTTTCACAACACCTTTCAGTTCGTAAAATATGGTGCTTCAGCCTAATTTTTTTTTCACTGTTTTCGGCTTAGAACGAAGTTAACGAGCTTTAACCAGTAAATTCTTTATTATTTGTAGCTGTTAAACATAGGTACGGCAGCTCCAGCTAGTAGTATTTCATCACAAAAACAACACATTTAAAATTTTTTTTAGGAAGCGCCATCTGAACATGGACGTACTTAAAAATTTTCTTTTCCCTAAAATTGATTTCAAAAAGAGACATTATTCGCGCCAAAATTTGATTCCCGTATGGTAAACGCTTATTGGCTAATAACATGACAGGTCAAGCAGGCGTTGGATTATGTAAATTAGGGGGCGGTTAACGGCTTGTTAAATCAATGTATCAGGCGTTATTTTTTTTCCCTCTCGAGCCAAAGAAACAAAGAAGCAAAAAAAAATAACGCCTGATCTCAGGTTACATTGACAAGCCCATCGAGGGCTTTATAAAGTGAAATACATTATGAACTTTTTGCAAAACCTGAAACACAACAATAAAACCCAATGAAGATGGGGAGATGTATCTGTCTTCATGGTAACTTTGTTTGTAAGCCTAATAGTTAAAGTTGAGATGCACTCCAAACAATAGTGTTTGAAATTTAACATTCCTCTTGATAATGGTGTGTGATAGATTGAAACGTCGAGTAACGTTTTTAAGTTTAAGTTTTCTGGTTAAATGCTTCGACAAGCAACTGACTATCGAACAATGTGGCCCCATGCGATTGTAGCAAATTTCCCCAGTGTCTCTAAAACCATTTAAAGAGCGCATGGGTATAAGACGAAACGCCAGAACCATACACATTAATAACTAAGAAATAATTTGTACGATCAAACCGGTATTAACCGGACAAACATGCGACATTTGCTGGTGTCCACTATTAATGTTTGGTTTTTTTTTTTAAAGTAAGCTCACGGTAAAAAAACTGAGCCACTCAGCCGCTTTTTAAAATATGATGTCGTTTTAATATAAGATTCACTATACTGTGTTTTCCGGATGGGCGAAACCGAGGGAATAAAAATAATGTTCGAGTAGAGAAGAACAACTATAAGGTCTTCGCGATATAAGCTAGGATAAAAGCTCATACGATAGTAAATAGGTCCTATAGTAACCTTCCACATTATCAACAAAGAATACAACGATTGTAAGCGAATTTCATCTAAAAGACAAGGTTGGCATGAAGAACATACAATCTGATATCTTACTGGTTGATGAAGACTTGGCCTGGCATCATTCTTCCGTAGCAACTGCACTATGGAGTGGTGGTTTTGGCGTTCAGCTTTTTGCAGAGGTGTACGTTGAAACTAAAAACACCACAAATAGGATAATGCGTATTACTTACCACTTACTACCAAGGAGAATACTCTAACTACCCGTTCCGTAAATGACCTAATAAACGCCCACTTCCAAAAAGACACATTGAACTCTGCAAAGCTGATCGTAATACGTGAAAATTAACTTTGCAAGACATCAACACCACACCGAAAGAACCAAACACAGAGCGGGGTCGTAGTCGTAGACAGCTGTTTCGCCCTTTTTGGGGATCGTCAGTGCGGTGCAACGAACAGAGAGGCTCTGCCGTAAAATTCCCGCTCACTCTGTTCCAGAGCCCTGACATCAGACACTCACAGAATCACGCCATATCATGTGTCCCCGAAAGGGCAAGAGTTCAAGTGTCACGTTGATGTCTCACAAAGAAGATATAGGATGGACACAACCAACCTTAGAAACATGGGCAAAACCTTGCAAAAATGAACAGCATATAGGATCTATAAAGACCTACGACCCCAAAAAATAAGTAATAACTAATACATTTATCACTTTCAAATAAACGCCTCTTATCTAATAAACGCCCTCTCTACGCTGTTAAAATTTTATTCGACGCCCCTCTCTAATAAACGCACTCTGTCTAAAAGATGCCCCCTTTGAGAATGACTCCAAAATACTAGAAATTATCCAAAAGAAGCAAAATTAATCAAATTATTCAGTTTCTTGCTTGATTAACGAGGCTTTGCTTATTTCATGTTGTTCAATGTCAAGTTAGAAATAAGGATAGACTAAGGATGGTAACACAATAACCCTGACTGAGTATTCTGACATCGATGTTGGCTGGGTTGTAAAGAGCGATATGGATCTCTAGACGGCCTAGAATCATCAATATTGATAAATATCAAGAGGTGCGATTTGAAAGAGAGATAAATAATCCCTAGACGACCCAAACGTATCAATTTATTGATGGAGTCGATATTAATATTTCCGCCGATAGCATATTAGTTTTGTTGACCTTGTCACAGTTAAGAGGAGAATAAACGCCTCTTTTAAAAAAACGCCTCCTATCTATTAAACAACCCCGCTTGGACCCCTAAAATTAAATAGCCACCACCCTAAGGAAAACTGCATTAAGGTGGCTGGAACCAGTATTTTTGCAGGTACACCTTCTATCTTTGAGTGTCCTGTACTTCTAAAGTGATCTTAATTGTAAAACCATTATAACATTAGCCTGAGACCAGGCTCCGTAGTGGGGATGGGGAAAAAGGCAAAAAACCAGATGTAACAGCGAAAAAAACGGCAAGCCAAGCGAGCAGAGTGGTGGAGTGGGGAGGGGGAGGTGGCGGAGCTCCGTCACCCTTACCCCTCTCCAGACTCCATCGTTCTCTTTGCTCGCCGATTTTTCTCGCTTTCCCCCCACTTTGGAGTCTGGTCCCATGCTATTATAACATACATGTATGTAATATATAGATTTAGCCAGGGCTAAAAGCGAAGCTCCCTTAATGAATTTATAGCTTAAATCAATCAATAAACTTGTGATCCACAAATCAGTTACTTTAGGGCACAATCATGTGAATTTTGAGGGAAAGGCTAAATGATTTTAGAGAATAAAAAAGAGTTCGCAAACAGTTCAATGAAGGGTTAAACGAATTGTACATCGAGTTAATAGTCTTCATGTTCACCCAAAAATAGCAATCACCTTTGATCACAGTAGATTAGGCCTAGAAAACAAATTATTGCTAAACAAAATAACTCAGTTGCCCACCTATAAACCACCTTGGTATTTAATAAGGTTAATTGGACAGCCCGAATTATAATTTTATGCTATAAAGGCCGATTATATAGAGGATATTACATGGTGGCGCGAAGATATGAATTTATTTTCGAGTGGTAAAACAACAAAACAATATTTTACGAACGAGCGCAGCGAGTGAGTAAAATATTGTTTTTGCCACGAGAAAATAAAATTCATATCTTCAAGCCGCCGTGTAATGTTCTTTTCATTATATAGACAAAAAGACATTAATAAAATAATAGATTTTTATCCGCCAAAAAGTAATTGTGACGGCTCAAATTTACAGTACAGCAATATAAGACATAATTTTGAGAAATAACACTGAGCTGAATAGGGCTCTACAATGACAAAATATAAGCAAACCTTTGAAAAATGTGTAATTAAAATTCAAAGGACGCAAGACGCCTACAAATTTTAGAGGGAAATTACCGAAATTACGTCATCGATAAACTCACGTGTGAGATTATGGAAAATAAACCACTCGGGTCCCGGATGTAGTTTTTATGAATTTTACGAGTGGTATATTTTCCAGTAAAACACTTGTGTCTATATAATAAAAGACACGATAGTCCTCGGTGGCAGCCATTTTACATGTTGCAGTTTCTAGGTTGCATTTCTTTGTCAAAAGGGAGGCCAAAATAAAAACAAAGTCAGGCTGGATTAACTTTCTTTTTTTTGCTAAACCTATTGCAAGACAAATTTCACTCACTCAGCATTCAGGGCGATCGAAGCGCGCGCTTCCTTTGGACAATAAATCATACAATTGACTACATTACTAATTTAACGTTTTCATGAAGAGAATTCTATTATGTCGGGACTTTTTCAGTCAGAACAATCTGCCCCTATGTGGTGTGCAAGGTAACAATGCGCTTTTAGGGAAAACGTTAAAAAAAATCCAAAATCAATATACAGCCAGCCGGTTCTCACTTTTCTTTACCAAAAATCCATTATTATTCATTCAAAATATTTTCCCAATACTGATTGGCTAAAAGCACACGTTAAATTCACCATAACCAGTTACTGATGACCAAATTTGGAAGAATTTTGTGTCGAGGAAATGACAGCGTTTTCGCAGGTTAAGGCACCGTTAACCGAGAAGACCTGGGGACCTGGTTGTGAACTTGGAAAATTGCGGACATTTCACTCGTTTCAAGAGTAAGAACTAGGCGAAAAAATAGCTAAAAACATGGCAAGAACAGCAAGAAGACAACTTGAAGGGCGACATCTGCTATTTGGAGAATATTTGCGGAGCTGGACAAACCTAAACGTGCACTATCGAAGATGAACGTAACATCGATGAATCGATGGAGATAAGCATGTTTTAACCATGTTTTTAAACTAAGAATCATTTTGAATGAATAATAAAACAATTATTGAATTCGGCTTTAATTCGGATCTCGGAGGGTGTTATCCGCCTCGGCCTACGGCCTCGACGGATAACACCCTCCTCAATCTCCATAATTCTTCATAAGATACTCAGCCTCATTCATTAATTGTTAAATAAACAGACCACCCATGAGTAGTAAAATATTCTTTGTATAGCAGCTGCATTTCATTTTGTACATCCAGTGGAAGAAAACAGTTAAAACTATTACAAGATGACACAAAACTCTGTCAGCTTCAGCTATCAGTAAACAAGTTTCCAAATGCTGCATAAATCTCCGCATGAACTCACCAGTCAAATTTTGACCAGTCAGAGCATACTATGTATAGATTTAGCCCAGCCTAAAAGCGAAGCTTTCGTTAGTCTAATAGTCATAGTTTACCGAAACAAAATATAAAATCGTGTAATGCTAAGCGGTGACGCCAACGAAAACAGCTAAAAATTCAGTAGGTACTAAGCAGCCAAAAAAAAAGAAACAAAAACTTTGTACGTGCAGTACACTTTTTAGTACATTTCTTTGCCGTTGTTTTGCCGCACGGCTACAACGAGGAACTTCCAAAAACTTCCTAGTTACACGTTTTATGTGTTCCTATTCACTTTTTTTTCGCCGCCGCTCATTTCCACTTTGGTGGCTGCTAACTTTTCCCGTTTTTCTTATCGTCGTTATTTATAAAACTGTTGTTTTTCTTCCAACGAAATTGGTCTCCTTGTTCTTTACATTTCGCTCTAGCTCTTTCTCTGTTATCCACGTCAACGTTGACATTAAAATTAAGTCGAAGTAAAGAATCGGCTTTGTTGTTGTTGTTTTTATCTCTAAAAGTCCGGGAAGGTATACGATTTACGGTCAAAACGCGCGGGTGCTTGAAATGCAAAATTTCATCCCGGCTTACATGAAGGGGTGGACGTACGAACGTACGTACTCCGTGCGGACAATTTTCTCAGAACCAAATTTCTTGGATGCATAGTTTACCAAATTATCTTACCCATGGTGCGACGCTGCGCGCGCGAGAGCTCCGCTATTATAATATTATTTTTTGGCGATTGGAATATATATCACGTGACAATGACATCACAATAGGTTTAGCTGCAAATCGGATTTCAGCCCTTACCACAATTTGTTTTACAAAACGGCTAGTCTTCTCGGATAAGGACGATAAACCGTAAGCTTCGTCTCGCACCCCTTACACGTATACTAAATTCTGTAGGACGTTAAAAAACCCAGAATAAGGGAAGTAGTCCCTGGTGTGGTAGTCTATTTCCAGTTCACAATCACATTAGCGGGTATTCATAACTCATTGCTTCTGTTCATTACCTGTAAACCAAGAGAGGATAAAGGGGACAGAGAAGGCATCCCCATACACACCCGATTCCATAGGTAATTCGTCTCGAGTTATTTTTAGAATCGGGATAAAGTTACCTCGCGCGCTGCGTGGATGTTTCGTGGAGGTTTCGCATGACTAAACGCCGCGCAAAACATGTCGGGCGAAAGGCAATGAAAGCGTGAAGAGATCGAGAGCATTTCTGAATATTGAAGCGGAATGAGTCGGCGTCCACCTGGGAAAAGGGAATCGCTAAACTCTTTGACAACCCGTGAAATCAGTTTAACTCGAAGTTGTGGTAACCTCAGTGCTTTAATAAAATGAGAAATTTCGTCGGTCTATTGAAACCAGTCGTTTGTATAATAAAGCAAGTAGGACGCCAAGTGTTATTTTTGTTGAATAATAGCAGACTAATAAAAGAATAAATATCAAACCAGAAATTGCTCTCTTCAAACTGTAAATTGTAAATGATCCTGAGAGAATATTCAGTGTGTCAAAGATTTCCCTGCTGTACTGTTAGCTCTATACAAGAAAGGAAGGGTGATTCTTTTTTAATTTCCGTTTCGCTCTCACAGCTTTAGCAGAAATCTATCTTAAGTCGTTTTCGTCGACAAAACAAATAGGAATATCGCTCTCCTCGTCTTCCGCCATTTTTTTCTGCGTCAATTCGTGAAGGACGCGTGGCTCTGAGCGTGGGTCATCAACGCGGAACACATCCGCGCTATGTGATTGGCTGTTGTCTAATCCCCCTTGGGATCTATGATCTTAAAAATAACTCGAGACGAATTACCTATGGAATAGAGTGTGTATAGGGGATGCCTTCTCTGTCTCCTTTATCCTCTCTTGCTGCAAACTGCACCAAAAGCAATCTGGCAAAAGAACCCAGAGCACTGTTGTAAAAAGTTCTCTGAAAATCCCTAAAGGAACTGTATAATAAGATATTTCACAAAAGTACAGGTCCCGTGGTTGTCCGCTAATTGTAGTAAATTACGTTGACTGTAGACGTTCATGTTCTCACGGCAATATATTGTTTGATTTACAATGTATGAAACGCTTACTAACTCACCCTGTCTTCAGCGTTGACGTTTGCACCATGTTTCAACAAAAGTTGAACAACAGACTCCTGTCCGTACCAACAGGCAAGATGAAGAGGGGTCAGAGAAAACTACCGAAAATAGGAAAAAAACAACGCAGTTAGATAGCGTTGAAAGAAGCCAGCTAGTTCCGTTTATAACGATGGCCTTGCAAAATAAACTTAGAAGCTGTCATTGGACTAATTTGTACGACCAAGCTAAGAATGAAGCCAAAACGTCTTTATTTATCCTCTTTAGTTTATCTGAAACAAACCAAGTGGAACCCTCCAACTGAGTCCAAATGCAATGTTGGCAGGTCACTTTCTAGGATAAATTGGTAGTCTCTGCCAATTCTTTTATTAAATTTAGAGACCTGAACATCGTCCAGAACATCCTCAGGTTACTAAACAACAACGACAACTACAAACAAACAAAACAGACAACTAAATAAATTCTCTACAGTGCTTAGCCTCAGACATTTCACGTCGAGCACGTAATTGGTTCTAGCAACATTTCCTCCATAACTTCACAGTTTACGTTCACCCGAGTAATTGTAGTCCTGGGCCCAGTTGTTGAAAAGGTGGATAGCATTATCCACCGGATAAATCACCATTCAAGGCTGGTTTTCACTAGCGACGGAGTCGGAATCGGAATCGTAAGCGAAGTCTCAAGAGCGACGGAATCGCAGTCGGAAGCGTAAGCGAAGTCGTAAGAACGACGGAATCGGAGTCAGAAGAATCAGAACGTGTCCATTTTCTTCCGATTCCGCCAAAAACTCCGTCGCTTACGAAAAAGTGAAAACCAGATTGTCGGAGTCGGAAGCAGAAGCGGAAGGGTAAACCAATCACAATAACGTTCACACGCTTTGTGATTGGCTTAGTTCTTCTGCTTCTGCTTGCGACTCCAACGACCTATTTTTCACTTGATCGTAAGTGACGGAGTCGTAAACGGAAACAGAGCGGTGATTTCACTAGATCGTAAAGTTATATTCTGATTACGAATCCGATTCCATCGCTAGTGAAAACTAGCCTTTAAGGAAACACTAGCACAAGATCTCATTTCATTATCTCATAATAAACCAAAACTCTTGGGCAAAAACCATTTACAACATCGTGAGCTATAATATGACGCTCTAGTGCTACATACATAGTAAATAAAAGTAAATCCGTGTATCCTTCCTATGTTATCCATCTTAACGATGGTGTCAGCCATCACCGGCCAATCAGGATGAATTCGTTCACAAACGTAAGGTATGCAATAAGAGTTTTATACAAACTCTTGCTTCTTATACCTTGCCAGCTCGAAAGCTGGTGCAAAACCCCAACACAAGCGCCTACTTGTAGTCTACCAAAGCAGGAAAAGAATCTACGAATCCCCAAGCCAAGCGAAAGCGAGAAGCTGGGCTTAGGCTTCGCACAAAAATTACATAAACTGGAGAAGACTAAACCCTGATCTCTTTCATGGCCAAGAACATGGCCTTAAATATTGGGATGCACCTAGCACGAAAAAAAAAAAACGAAAGCAAGCCATGTAATACTCAAAAGCTCCCCGTGGAGCCTGACAATTCCAATTCCCTTCCCAACCGGCTCGAAACGTCTCGCGCGCAAGCCTTCGCTAAACTTCAATCTCTCACAGCCATGACAAATCCACTGGCGAAGGGAAGGAAAGAGGTCAAGCTAAACATTAAATTTACATAAACTGGGGAAGAATTAAACCTGATCTCTTAGATCCACATCTTCTCCACTTTCAAGAAGCGTTTTGACCGTCTTGTATTGTCCACTGATAGCAGCCTTGTGTAGAGGGCCTCTCGACGCCTATTTTAAAAAATATCCGTTTATGTAAATGTAAAGAGATTACAAAATCCTGTAGATAAAAGCCAAACTCATCAGTCTACAAACCTTGCACTCTGTTATAAAACGTTATCCGGCATTTGATTTTAATCCCTCTTCGCTCCCATATTAAACTTTACCTATGAATACTGGAGGTAATAACTCAGAGCTGAGCAATGTCCTCCAGGGCGACACACTGTAAAAGAGCTCGCAATTGTGTACAGTTAACGATGATGCAACTCATAATAAGGCTACGCTCTGCATGAGTTTGATTTAGGTGCAACTCGTTAACAACAAGGCACTTTAATTCTTCCACCAAGTGACGATTTTCATTCTTTTTTTGCTTTGTTTGAATACACAACGAGCGCACACTACACTTTGTATCTTAACGATCTTCCCGCTGAACTTACTTTAGCCTTCTCAGCTCTGGCCATAGGTGTCAGGGCCTGCTTCTTGTCCTAGGATAATAATAAATAAATAAATGGATAAACAGATAAACAAATAAATAAATGAAAATTAATTTATTGTGCCACTACTGGTATTTGTTTGGTATAAAGCTTCCATCCAATTTAGAGCTAACGAGCAACTCTCCCTATTCACCATTTTGTTTCAAGTACTATCTAACACGGCGCCTCTTCAGGTTACTATTATGAAATACAAGGTCCAAAACCAAAAATTCCTTGATAAAAATTCTTTGACCTACAATTGGCTGCCTTGTTACATTCCTGCTTGATTATATCGCCAGATTCACCACTCCCCAAAGAAAATATACTTGTACTCTCTAACGCTACGCTCAGCCGAATAGAAAATAGAGACAAAACAACAGAATGATGAATACAGTCAACTCTCTCTTAACGGACACACCTATAAGACGGACACCTCTGTAAAACGGACACCTAGAGTTGGTCCCTGCCTTTCTTTGCTCCCTCTATTAAGACGGACATCTCTCTAAGACGGACAGCTAGTGCCGGTCCCAAAGGTGTCCGTCTTAGAGAGAGTTGATTGTATAGGCCATTATAGGGAGTCATCCGAGGTCCAGCAAGAGAGAGGTCCAGGGAAAAGGCAGTACCTTCATTTCTCAGACATTTTAAGACCCTGAGTGTTGGTCCGGTCCCGGGAATCAAACCCGCGACCTCCCGCTCTGCAGTCAGGCGCTGGTATTTGTTTGGTATAAAGCTTCCACCCAACATCGAGCCAACAAGCCGCTATGGGAGCGTACACTTCGTCGTCGTGGTTGTGGATTAATCGTGAATGCGGAGGATTAGTAAGAAATTAGATTTTCAAGGTACCCTTCCTTACAAGTACCCTTACTTTTCTCCTTTTGTGTAACAGACGTCTTTTAAAATTCTACACCTTCTCCGACAACGTAACTAGCTAACATCAGTACACTCCGGATCCCTTAAAGAAACTTGCTGAAAATGCACAATCTGGATTTAGAAAAAAAACGGCAGTACAGCCTGTTATCGTTGCTTCGGGCCGCAGTGCAGAACAGAAACTTTGATCTATCGGCAAGGAATTTAACCGGCAAACCAATAAATTTGGGTTTTCCATTGTGTAAAACGATTTCCAAGCAAGAAAAAAAAAACCTGTAAAACGATTTCCAAGCAAGAAAAAAAAAACGAAAAAGCGGCCACGAGTAAACTGGTCGGCGTCAAGTGCTGTGAAATTTACAGGAGTGGCTTGTAAAGAGTCTAATAATCCTCATGGGAACTGAACTAAACAACGTAATATCATAGGTGACGAATTACTCCCTACTTTTGGCGCGAAATTTCAGCGTTAATTTGTAATTTCACATGTGAAAATACTAAATTGCCATGGCAACCTAACGTACGTCTCAGTGTCAAGATGGCGACGAAGTTTTAAAATGTCGTGAATGAAGATGTCAGGGCACAAAAAGACGCTTTAGAAAACCTGAACACACGAAAGAGCACATCAAGAAGGATTCTAACAGGTATTTTGTCGAAAAACTCTGAACTTAAGCCAAATTTAAGCTCTAAACGTTCGAGAGAGTGCAGGAGTTCTCGATCGATACGATCCAGGATAAACATGTCAAAAATCCAAGATAGCTAACGTAATTCGTCACCCATGATATTAATAGGTAATCAAATGGTATACTCGTGAAATTAGGGAATAATTTCACGCGTTTTGTCCAAATCCTAATAATTTCCCTCGCCTAAAGGCTCTGGAAATTATTAGGATTTGGACAAAACGCGTGAAATTATTCCCTAATTTCACGAGTATACCATTTGATTACCTATTAATATCATGGGTGACGAATTACCATTTGATTACACATACTAATCAACAACTAAAAAAATACATTTCAGCTTACTTCACTCCTCCTTGTATCCTCTTCCTGACCTGAATCAACTGTTTGAGATGAAGTTTCGGAGATAATTGCTACTCCTAGTAATCAAAACAGTAGTGTCACCAACAAGATACCAATTATAATGGCCTGTAAAACTTGTTTTAAGTGGGCACCCTCACGGAAAGCTTTAGTGGTTGGTTAATGCATGATGTCCGCCTTACAAATAGTACTTCCAATAGAGAGGAGAAGTCGTTGTGTCACATTGCCATGGTAGCAAATTTTCTGGATGACAACACATCGAAAACGTCACTTAATTCGTCAAATGTTGGTGAAATTTTCTGGGGTTCAATTTGAAAGTTAAGAACAAGAAAAAGAAAAAGACAATTTTTGTGTTGTGTTCACCTACTCCCATAAAGCGGGCGCATGAAATTAGGAAGTTTCGTGTCGCAGTCGTGCAACGACGGCTAAGAAATCTATAAGAGCGTGATGCACGTGCAAAGTTGTTGTTTTGCTGTTACTTTTTCGCCGTTGTTCTTGCCTTCGCCGTCGGTTAATCTCCCTAGTAATGTGATCCAGAAATTCTGTTACTATGGTAACGTGACGTCACACTTCTCCTCTCTTTTAGCATCAGGCATAAATCTACTCAAATCCAATGTTGGCAGTTTTTGTTTATTTCAACAAAACGGCTCTCTCTAGTCACCCTTTACGTTTTACCTTAGGTTTCCGCTTTAAAATCCGTAAAAATCTATTCAACAAAATACGGAACAAATTACTACAATTTGTATTTCTCCCAAAAAAACCTTTCCCACTTTTTACATCCGGGGACTTTTATGTAAAACTGTCAATCGATACGTGCGAACTTAACTTCCTAACTCTTTACTTAAACTGAAAATAAAAATGATACTGAACACTTTACATTGAAATTTCTACTTTCTGCTCAGTAGAACAGAAAGGAAAGGGCTGTAGATAGAAAGAAACTAGGCCATTTCGCCTGTAAGCCTCATAAGCTGTGCACCTCAGTCAGATGAAACAGGAACAAGAACATAAGTGACAAAGAAGAAGCATTCTACACAACAATCCTAATCCATTTACCTTACATGTAGGAGGTGCATTCGTCAATAGCTAATGTTGTTGACCTCCATTAGTCTCCGAATGCTCCCTCTATCATTTCATGATTTGTATAGGTAATAACATGATTTCGAGTGCAATTTTGAATAAATAAGCACGAGTAAATTTTTCATAGACCAACAAAAGTGCACGAGCCCGTAGGGCGAGTGTACTTTGAGGTCTTTGAAAAATTTACAAGCGCTTATTTATTCCAAATTACACGAGAAAAATCATGTGATTACCTATACTAATAATATACACGAACAACATAACAACAACAACGAATTTTGACAGAACGCGCGTTTTTAGTTCATTCAACTGATTGGCTGAAACAGACTACTACCTTCGTCAAATTCAAACTTTTTCAAGACCAACGCTTTCAAAATCATTCAGCTAAGAACTTGGAAATGTGCAAGAGTTGATTTTATATGGTCACCAGCCTGTTAAAGATAACTTGGTTTACAATAATCAGCAAAAGTAAGTGTTTTTAAATTCACCCTCGATTATGAGAGCTCGGCGTTTACAAGAAGCGTTTACAAGAAGTATACTGCCGTTTTGAAATCAGCAGAACGCTTCGCGCGGCCAAAAATGAAAGACACTTGCTAAGGTATTTTAACGACTGTTCATCATTGTCTGTTCCTGAGACCCCATCATAGCTGGATTCATGGAGAAATTTTTGAGATGTAAAAGCCGAGACGCTGCCATCGATGGGTGAATGGAGCCACAGTTATTGACAACCGCTGGGGTTTTCATTATTTCATTAGGCCTCCCGCAAGAGTCATCGTACGTAGCTCTTCTTCGTCGGCTTCATCGTAGTCGTTAAGGAAATTTATATTTATTTGTGGCCTGTGAAGTTGGCGATATGTTCTGAACTTACAATCTTTGCTTTCTTCAGCCTCCTGACTGTTGTTTTTCTTGAACAATGATTCGTAAATTTTTTTCTCACTTTCTTTAAGGCTAGTACCGGCTACGGATACTTTCATTACGTTAGTTATGGTATTTTCGCCCATTGGTTTAGTTTGGACCAGATGTTTAAATTTTCAGTTTCGTTTGCTACTGAGGTAGAAAAAAACAGACCATCGCACGGATGTTTTAATAGAGGTCTTCGCTCCACAAAAGACTCAAAGAGAGCAACCGGACACCTTTCTCCTTGGGTTTTTTGCGTACAAAATTAAATCCCGTCGTTGTCTGCTGAAAACCATGACCATTTTCTTGAATTTTGATGTTAAAACAGCTCTAATCTGATTGGTTCTTGGTGGTTTCTTTTGTGTTTACAGCCAATCAGAAAACATTTGTAATTTGCACTCGTGTTACAAGTTTGCACTCGTGTTACAGAGGAACTGCACTCCTTTCTCAGCCAATCGGAATAGAGTAATTTTTTCGTGTACATTTTTAAGGTGGTAACTGACATTTAGTGGACATTCCAGCCAAGATGTTAACATTTAGCTGGATTATTGCACTCAGTTCTCTATTAAGCATGAGGGCCATGAGGAAAAAAGTTTTGACAAAAAATTTCTCCCACCAACTATCCATTAAATTTGCGTTAAATTAATTGATACTGAACTAGATACAGGCAAATTGCTCCAAGAAACATATTAAGCCTAAATACATGTTACCAAAAAAGCTCTACAGAGACTGCCCAGCTCACCTGAGATTTCCATGAGAGCTTTCTTACAAATCAAGTAGTTTTCTTCTTCTATAGTTATCCTCAATCTGACATGGTCCAACCCGAGCTTTCTCTTTAGTTCATCAGTCACCAGAAATCTCTCAGCGATGCCATTAAGGCAACCCGATTGATAGTCATTCCATAGTCTCTCAAGACTCTCTAGAGTGGGGCACTCCACTGTTATTATCAAAGACCCCCTTTGCACAGACTTCACAGACACATTGTGAACCTCCACAAGATGTTCAAAAAAGGCACTTAAACCCTCAGGTGTTGAAGGACTATGGTGTATCAAGTATTTGCTTGCGTGAACTTTTAAAATGTCATCCAAGTTTTCTTGTTGTTCATCGCTTAGATCTGGGGCACTGATTATAAGTTTAAGAACTTTAACAATGGCGCCTAGAATTTAAGAAAGGAGCTGTGAGACATTTTCAGCCATATTTTTGTTACACACATATACAGTAAACAGGGCTCGAATCTTAAAACAAGTCGCAACTATTAAACTTGGACAAACAAGTCACTATTGAATAAATTACCAGAAGGTATAGCCCCAGAAAAGCAAATAATTTCTCCTTGTTTCCGTAGAAAGCAAAAAAAAAAAACTTTCCATTTCTACTCACTTTAGCCTGTTCCAAGCGTTCAGATAGTAGAGCGCCTTCGGCCTCCATTGACTCAGAGGCCATGAGGGCGAGAGGAATAATTGTTTTAGTAAAATCCAACTAGTTGGTCAAAAATATCGAGACAAAACATTTTTAGCTGGCAAAATGCGATTCAGCCGCCACTGTTTTCGTCGTTACTTGTTTACGTCCTCCATAAAACGAGAAATTAGGCACTTTCACGTCGTAGTCGTGCAAAAACGGGCAAAGAAATGTACAAAAAAGCGTGATGCACGTGCAAAGTTGTTGTTTTGCTTATAAAAAAGTATTGTTTTTTTGACGTTCTCGTTGCTGTCCGCGTCGTTGGATCTTAAAGTCCCTAATATAGTTCAAAAAAAACTTAAACATAGCATTGTGAACGTATTTTAGTATTTAAACGGTAGATTTAGGCATATTTTTAACCCCTAAAAATTTTTCATCTGTTCGGATTTCCTAGCTGAAAGTCGAGTGATCCGAAAATTATAGGGATCAAAACTTACCTTTTTCGAAAATTTCGGTCAGAAAAAAGGCTCCCCAAAATTCTAGGTGACCTTTTTACGGTAAAAATCTGTTAAAAATGGGCAATTATACCATTTTTTGGATGTTCATAAATCTTAGGAGAAGCAAGCAGGCAAGAAATTTTACAACAAATGTTCCGGAAATTCTAGATCTCAAATCGTCTTCCGAACAGTTATTTTCCGAAAATTGACGCTGGGTGCCCCTGGAATTATGCAGGTCGAGGAGGATAAAAGCCTCCGAGATCTAAGAATGCAATTAACAATCAAATACGATAAAATATGTAAACAATGAGTGATAAAATATTTATAAAATTGAAAAGAAATAATAATAATAAGGCTAATTAAAACCGATCTAAACAAATAATTTTGCGCGGATGGAATCGGACGAGTCGCACTCAGTTGTCTAGTATTAGTTTCAGTTCTTTGATAAAAAGCATTTAAAAAATAAGGAAATCAAGTTTGCCCTACTCATCAGAGAAAAAGCTAAACCGCCCAATATTATTCAAAAATTACAGAGTAACTTTAATTTTAACAGCGACAATCTGAAGCAAATATTTAAGCTGCCACACTCTATCGCTGTCGAATCGTATGTTAAAGCCTTCCAGTACAAAGTAATTAACTCAATTCTTCACACAAATACAAAGTTGTATAAAATAGGTTATAGGACAAATGATTTATGTACTTTCTGTGACAATCAACCTGAATCATTAACGCATTTGTTCTATCACTGCTCACGCTCTAAACAGTTTTGGATTGAATTTGAACTATATTGGTGCCTTATTTCGAATCAACGAATTCGTCTCTGCTTGGAAAATGTGCTCTTTGGAATTTTGACGGAAAATGCTTGCCCTTTACTTCAATTGCTGAACTATTTTATAATTATTGGAAAACTCTATTTGTGGGACTGCAGGAGCAAACAAATCCTTCCAAACATTTGTGGATTTAAAGCCAAGATCATCGCTAAATATGAAACAGAAGAAAAAATCAGCAACAAAGAATTCTTTAAAAGAAAGTGGATACTGACGCCTTATTTAAGTTAACTGTATTACCTCCGTATTATTTCATTGCCCTGTTGTACTTTTTTTACAATTTCTTTTAGCCCTGTAACACCTCCTGTAATAATTTGACAATTTTTTTTTGTGTGTGTGTGTGTGTGTTTTGTAAATGTAATTATTTAATGTGATTATCAATAAACATTAAAAAAAAAAAAAAAAAAAAAAAAAAAAAAGTTTGCCCTTGCACTATTGAATTTGGGGACATAATGTGCTGATCTCCCAGGTGGTTTCGGATTGCAGTTCCCTTGAGCTCTTTAAGGGCCTGTTTACAAGGAGGTAGGGGACACCGGATAGGTGAGGTAACATGTGGCGGGTAAACAGGCTCTTAGAATAGGTGTGTGAACTCTTTTTTACCCCATGGATTTTGGTTCACACACCGCCACATTTTTCTCACAACAATTAAAAAATCGTCTTGTCGATGACACGGAAATAAAGAAACTTGAAACTTAAAAACTACACAATTTCTCAAGTTTACGGGCTTTCTGAACATTTCAACGGTGACGCTTTCCATGGGTTAGCTCATATGCTAATGACAAAAATGTGAGCAATAACGTCGAGTCAGGGAAAGATAGTCTGGGACCAAACTAAGGCCTTGATAATCCCGTAATACCTGGTAGTTTGAAAACAAAGACAACGTCGTTGATAAAAGAGGAGACCAGACCACTCCCAGGATTTACACTTTTTCTAGAGCCCAAGGTACCGTGGAACCTCGATTTAACGAAGTGCCAAGGGACTGGCAAAATTTGTTCGCTATAACAAGGTTTCGTTAAATCGAGGTACTTTTTCATATATTGCACTATAACTGGGTAAAGAAAATCGTTCGTTAGACCGAGGAATTCATTATATAGAGGTTCGTTATGTGGAGGTTCCACTGTAACATCTGGATTTAAAGTCTGTGTACACAATTACAATGAGTGAAGAATTGCACTGCTACAGCTTAAAAGGTAGCAAGTCCTGTAGGAAAAAACACCTTTGAGTGTTCTAACCGTCACCTTCCCCCCCTCCCCCTCCCTCCACTCCCCGCACTCCCACATTAATCCCTAAATGTACTAATGGGCAAAAGCAAGAAACACTAATCATGTTTTTGCTTACCTGGATCACAAGAAGATTCTGACATTTTACGCTTACGGCTATTTTGTGACTGAGACTCTTTAACTGTGGACGTTTCAGTTTGGTTTCCTGGTGTAGCATCAGCTTTCAGCCGCTCGTCTTCATAAGAGTTTGTTCGTGGGTTGTTGTCATTTTCCATTAGAGGCTCTGCGTAAACAAACTTTGGTTACAATAATAATTTCTTTAAATTCAAACTAGTATATTCATATATTCAACAATAATTTCTGTTAGTATTTACCAAATCAGTGAATAGCAATTTTCGCGCGTTTTGATTAGCTCCCGTAACTCGAAATATCTTTTGCTATTCACTGTTTTGCGACCGGAGCCAAGATGGTGTCTCGTTTCGAGACATTTTCGGAAGACGGAATTTGTGCGATAAATGAAGCAGTCGTACAAACATATACCAAGAAAGCAACGAAGTTTGGCTTGTCGGTGTTCACTGGTAAGTAGAAAATTATTTTCATGCTGAATTTGGAACAAATCGTAAAATGCACTTGACAAAATCCCCGAAATGTTTGTAAATTGTAAACAAAGTTCCCACTAAGGGACCAGTCATAATTTAAGTTGGAGGAGGGGGTGGAGGAGAAATTGGGGGGCCTTCAATTTTTTTTGGATGGAGTATGGGGGGCCTTAAAATGCCAAAAGATGACCTTGGGGGGTCTTCAAGTTTCTTTTAAGTAGCATCCCTACTGAGCAGCATGATGCTTGAGTATTAAAGGACCTGATTTTGGTTCAGTTTTACACAAAGTCCTATATTGTGTAATACTAAAACAAAAAGATTTAATGCTCAAATAGTAGGTGCTTCAACACAACATCCATTATTTTGTAACACTGAAACAATTTCATCGGCATTTTAACACATGATGATTACATGCATAAAGTCATGTTATGCAATCTCACTATCCGAATCATTATTTGTAGATGAGGTTGATGTGGACTCACTGTCTGTCACTGTCAAGCTTTTTGCTATTAGAGCATGTACTGCTCATATAAAAAGCAGTAAGCTTTGGCTGATTATCTTCTTTCTTCCTTGAAGGGGTCCTATTGGCCTCTAACCTTTCGATGGCTTGTCTTATCTCAATTTTAACACAATCACTGATATATCCTTGCTCTATAAGCTGTTTGAGAGGCTCTAGGTGAAATCTCTTTCTCAGTTTAGCATGAAGTGCTTCTCTGTTGTTAGTTGGCACATTCGGAAGTGACAGTGAGTTAGAACGGTAAAGTAAAGAAAATGTTATTTGTTATTACCATTTGGGTGTTATGTAAGAAAGGGGGGCCCTTAAATCTTTTAACATGATTGAAGTGGGGGTACCTAAAAAACATGGGTGCTATTAGTAGGGGGCTGGAAATAATTTGGGATAAAAAACAATTTCTCCTCCACCCCCTCCTCCAACTTAAATTATGACTGGTCCCTAAGTGACGTATTAATTTACAAAAAGTTACTTTTTTTCAGTTTTATTCAACTGATTTGGTAAATACTAAAGCAACTATCCCCCTCAGGGTCGGAGAACAGCGCTAGATATATACCTCGACGCTTCGCGTCTCGGTATACAACCACTATTCACCTCCCCTTTGGGGGACAGTTGTATATGAAACTGAAGACCCAGTCAATTCCAGGTGTGCGGCCCATTCCTCCCCGGGGCGGACATTCTAGTTAGGCACGATATATCAGATTGTGTATTACCGGGATAAAAGCTCAGGGGCCGGCGTTTTAATTCCTTCCCCGTCCCAAATTTTTGATCGCTCTTGTGTGCGTCCCGCGCATCTCCCGCTTGGTTAAAAGTAGACAGAAATGACTGCTACGCATGCTATACATACGAAGTCCATAGACCATTCCGCTGAAAACGTTTTTTTTTTTCAAGATTTCAGGACAAAACTTGTAGTTTTGTTTGTTTCTGTTTTCTGTTTTTCTATCATTTCCTGATAATGTACCATTCAAGAAAAGATAATCGACATTCTTACCAGGAGCTAGGCTGATCATCCTGTCAACTAAATCATTTATCTGTTTGGCCCAGTTGTATTTCCTGCCATAGGAATCACGCAAGGTCACCGCCTCCTCAAGTCTACATTCCCTGTCTTTGGACCAGATATTCTGAATGGCTACGGTCCAGATTGCAGGGTCCTCTGATTCAATCACAAATGATGAACCAAAAGCTGCACTGCACAGTGCTTTCCCAAAACCAGAGTTGCTACTAACGAGCACTGGGAGACCAGCTGACATTGCTTCAAGCCCTGTTAGTCCAAAACCCTCTGTTCTTGAAGGCATAACTACAAGATCCACTTCCTGGAACAAGCTCCTCAAACTCTCTCGGTCTTCAACAAATCCTCTTACTCTCAAACGATTAGTAGGAACGCCACATCTGATAAAACGATTTTTTACTTCTTCGTATTTTCCATCCGGTGTTCCAACAAACACAAGGCGAGTATCTTGTAACGCAGCAATTGCTTTCCCAGCGATGTCAAATCCCTTTAATTCGAAATCTTCTACAGCTCCACCACCAAACACTAAGACATTGCGTCGTTGCCTTTGGCCAGCAGCCTGCCTCACATCCTTAAACTCTTCAAATACTCCAGGAGTGAATTCAAAGACATTGCCATCTTTATTACAGCCACAAAGATATGAGCGAAAGGCCTCGCTCAACTTGGGTCCAACTCCTACAACACGATCCGCCATTTTACACAGTTCTACTTCGGTCTTGTGCTTTTCTTCGCCCTTTGAAATTGGGTTGGAATAGCTTTTAAACATTCCAAGTTCCTCTGGGTCTGTGTGCACCACTTGAACCCACTTGCAATTTTTAGAGTTCTTAATGACTTGTGCTTGTTTACCGAGTTTAACTCCATGACCTACGATAATGTCGATATGCAAATCTTCTGGCGGAAAACAAAGCCAATTCAGTTGTTCAAAGCCAGGCAGTGGTGTTGCCTCCACGATCTTTACTTTGTGTTCCAGAGCTATTTTTCTGTCCTGTTGACTGCATTTTGGTAAAAAGAAAGTGATTTCCGCCTTAGGACTTTTGGCTAACTGAATCGCTAATTCTCTGTTTATTGTGGAAAGTCCCCCATTACCAGATCCCCATTCAGATGCCAAAATAGTGACTTTCACTTTGTGATCGAGATCCATGCACTCGGTCATCATGCGTTGGAGCTTTCTGTAAAGTAGACGTCATGCCAAATCATCAAGTGGTCCAACATCTAAAGTGAAATTAAAAATAGAGAAAAAAAAATTAGTTACGTTACTTTTGATGCCCTAACTAAGAATGCTGTTAGTTTTATAAATGGGCAACAGTGAAACTTGGAGTAACCCCGTCGCGTGACCTAAATACCACTCCGAAGTATTAGCATGAAGTGATGTTTAGGTTCACAGTTGCTTTCGAGCAAAGAGTTGACTATTTAAAAATAGCGAGCGCAGTTCATTCCTCAGACGGTGAAATTTGACCTACGTGAACTACTCCCGTTGCCTAACACATGACCTGAACTATACGTTTTTTCCTGACCTTTTTGGCCAAAAACAGCGATGGCGTCACAAGCGGTACAAGGCTTGTGTTCCTCACGGGTGTTACGAGCGGAACAGATAGTAGTACGAAGGGTCATTCCAATCCGCTCAATGTGTTCCATTTGCTTTATAGAAAAAGGAAACGGGAAAAGGCTGATAACAAAACAATTTAATCAAAATTCAATACATCACTTTTGCGCCTAGATGTGAGTTACTTTGTTAAGACGTTAAAATCATAGGTGACTCCTTAATTACTCCTTAATTTTGTAGCGAAATTTCAGCGTTTATACTACTACATCAGAAATTTCTGCAATTTGATTTGCTTAGAGCAGTGGTATTTCAGCTTAATTTGAAATACCTACATGTGAAAATTACAAACCTTTTGTGGGTAGCAGTATAAACAAATAATAGCATGATTTGTACGTGATATTTGGCATAAATACCACCTGTGATATTTCAAAATTGTCTCAAATTTCACTCGCCTAACGGCTCGTGAAATTACGTATAACAATTTCGAAATATCACTCGTGGTATTTATGCCAAATGTCACTACAAATCATGCTATTATCTTAAATAATTTATAATTATAATTTAACAATTGCAATTACAAAATTGTCATGGCAACCTTCCGTACGTCTCCGTGCCAAGATAACACGAGGTCTTAAATTGTTACGAATAAAGATGTCGGGGCATTTTTAAAAGACGGTTTTGAAAACCTAAACACACGAAAGAGCACATCAAGAAAAATTCTCATTGGGCAGGTCATTCCATAGTATAGTGCGGCTAAACTATGGAATGACCCGCCCAATGAGGTCAGGGCAAAGCAAAGCTTGGCTGCCTTCAAGGAAGGGCTTAAAAAAGTGCAGATAGAATTTTTGTAAATAGCAATTAAGTTATTGTAAATAGAAATGTAACAATTCAATCAGTGTAAATAGAAAACTAGATAGAAACCTGTGAATAGTAATATGTAAATATTTTCGTGCAAAGTCCTCCGGGTAAATGTTTTTAGTATCTTCTCGTTATCACTTTTTATTCAGTTTGAGTTATGTTATACACGACAGCATCAGCTACGCTGTAAACGTATCGTGTTTATATAAAAGACGTTGTTGTTGTCGCTGCTCAAAGCAAATGAAAACAAAACTCTGAATTTTGTAAAAAGGAGTAGTTAGAAGAGAATTCAATCTATAGTTTTAAACCAATAGAAGATATGAAATTTAGAGACACTGAATCAAAAAAAATAGTATTGATGTGTGAAATTCTTTAATATAGATGCCACAAGTCCAACGCCGTTATTTAAGGGGGAGGGAGGGGTTTACTCGCTCATACATGAATAATAACCGAAATTAAATATATCATCCAACGTTACAGTGCCGTCACGCCACTGAACGTTATGTAAACAATCATTTTTCTTTTTCGTGATTATTTCCGCTTGAGACGTAGGTTAGCCATTTTAGAGATAGTATCTGTCAGAAATCCTTATTATTGGTCAATTTGTTACGCTCGGATTCCTTTAGCAAAGTATAGTAGTCATTGTCTTATTTACTCGCTAGTTTTTTCCCATCAGTCCAGCCTATGTAAGTTCTTTCCTTTTTTACCTTATTATAAAGTAATTTCAACTTTGCTGGTTACGCTGCCCTATCGGCCAAGACCAAATTAAATATCGGTCGAGGTAGCGGAACAGTTATACTCTAAGCGATGATGACATGATTTACACCTATGTAAACATGTACATCGCGTTTGTGACCCCTGTCATGGATGTTAGAGACCGAGACCAGGTCCAAAAATGGGTGTAGCGAATAGCATTTTGGTCAGGCTCAGATTTGGAGAACCGGGCGTCATAGTAGGAGGGTATATCTATGACAAAATTCAATAACCTAAAAGTGAAAAGGGTTAAGTCAAATCTGAAATATACCGAGTCAAAGTTGGTAAAAAAAAAGCCGACGGTAAAAGGAAGAAATACTAAAAAACCCACTATCATATAGGTATCACGCAGAAAAAGGCATCACGCTAAAAGGCAACACGGTACCTTAGGCGTGCCCTGATTGATATATTACAACAAGTCGAAAACGGAATTGACAGCATATGGTGGAATCATCCTCAGATTGACTGCAATTTTCCACTGCTGTTAACGCTGCACGAAGAACCGCTAAAACCTGTCCGCCGTCTTGGTAAAGATGTGCTGATCTCAAAAGTAAATCAATTAAGTTTTCCAGCCGGAAAGAAATGCAATCGCTGTCAATTCCGTTTTGGACTTGTTGTAATATATCGATCAGGGCACGCCTACGGTACCGAATAAGCACCTCACGAGGTGAGCAAGATGGAATGTCTCGTTCGAATACCATTTCGGTTTGCTTGCAGTATGTACTAAATAATACTGTTTAAGATCCAGGCCTGGATCCTAAGTAAACTTCTCATGTGATGCCCGTTTTGCAAATTGCCTTTTTTGCGATGCCTTATTGCGTGTTGCCTTTTTGTGTTGTGCCTCTTTGCGTACTACCTTTTTGCGTTATGCCTTTTTGCGTGTTGGCTCTTTGCGTGATCGCTGTTTGCGTGTTCCTCTTTGCGTACTGCCTTTTTGCGTGTTGGCTCTTTGCGTTATGTATGCCTCTTTGCGTGTTGCCTTTTAGCGTGATGCCTTTTTCTGCGTGATACCTATATGATAGTTGCTTTTTTAGTATTTCTTCCTTTTACCGTGGTCTTTTTTTACCAACTTTGACTCGGTATATTTCAGATTTGACTTAACCCTTTTCACTTTTAGGTTATTGAATTTTGTCATAGATATACCCTCATAGGCAGATATTCACCACCGAAAATTTCTAGGAATATTTATAACTTAAACTGAAATGTTGTGCTATTTAGCGATCTTTTGATCGTATTTTGCCTTAAACAATTCAGTGGCGGATCCAGACCTTCAGATAACGGGTGGGGAACGGTCATCCAGGTCCTGAGATAGGGGGGGATAAGTTTGGTCTAAAAATGGGGGACGGGCCCCCCGGCACCCTTCCCTGGATACGCCACTGCAATTAAGGGAGCACAGTTTTTACCTCCTTGTTTTATGAAACCGTCGTTCGATACCCCTGGTATATAAAGCCCAGGGTATATTTCGGGTATGTCAAGCCCAGAAAGTATTCTGTAGTTTTCCTCAGAATACGTTACAGACAGAGTCACAAGGGAGCAGACAAATAAACGGCGATTTCAATTTATGCTCAAGCAACCGCGAACGCAGGCGAATGTTCACTCCTATTCGCTTGGCAATTCTAAAAGAAAATAGAATGCTTTCAGAAGGTTAGAGCAAAGCATTTCAAAGAAAATCAGTGCCATTTTCTGACTGCCAGGCCAGCATTCTACTCCTGGGTATGTGTTTAAAATACTACTACGATTTGAATATCAAGAGCCATAATCACACTCAATGGCTCTTGGAATATCAACACCCGTGATCAAACGCCACCTGAAAACAACGAACATACACGGGCACCTCGTTTGATTTCATATCTTGAAATTATAGCTCAGTTAAAACAAAGAAAACAAAAAATGCGACAGATACGGGTGAGGACAAAACATGGACCAGGGGTCCATGGACCCCTACTTTGGACCGAGTCCATGGACCACTTTCATGGACCAGGTCCGTGGACCCCTGTCATGGACCGGGTCCATGGACACTTTTTTCTAAATAATGAAAAATTAACAACAACAGAAATAGTGCAAAAATAAGACTAAAAATAACAACAACAACAACAAACAATGCTCAGTTGATCAGTAATAATTAATTGTGCTTCATGGTGTAAAGAAGGGGGGCTAGGCAAGACATGACTTCACCTCATGCCAAAATGCTGCTAGTTCCAATAAATTGTTTTCGCTGACGGGTTGATTATGCTTTGGAGAAACACGTTTTGACTGAGCAAATGTGAATTTTTGCCGCTTACTTCATACTGAGAGGTCGTGACACGTGTATTGATTTTCTACCTCTTTTGAAATGTAAAGCACTTCATTGCGGCTGATTAAGGGTGTTAGGTTCTGGTTGTGTACTTTCTCCAAAATGCCCCCTGGATCTGAATAATTCTAAGCCATTTTCTTTTTGTCCGTGAATCTCACTTTTTCCTGCAATATTTTGTCATGCTGGGCCCAGCTCGTTAGCGTTTGTAGCAGGATGATTAATTCTCACAGATAGTGATTCACAGATCCAAATCTCAAGCAGATTGTAGCTTAAACAGTAGCCACATCAATTATGGAGAATTTCGATTGCTCTAAAAGCAATGAATTCCAAACTCCAGCTTGTTTTTCTGAGGATAATGCGAGTCTTTGTACTGGAGCGCGTAATTCCTCCCTTGCTGATAACTTTTGAATTAGCTTAACAGTCTTGCAACTGCACATTTGCAAGCAGAATGTACGTCATGTAAGCACAACTAAATATTTGTGAACAATCACGAGCATCGGTCGACAGCTTCTTGTCAAATCTAATTTTTGGCACTCATTATTTGAAAATAGTGTCCATGGATCCGGTCCATGACAGGGGGTCCATGGACCCGGTCCATGAAAGTGGTCCATGGACCTGGTCCAAAGTAGGGTCCCATAGACCCCTAGTCCATGTTTTGTCCTCACCCGGCAGATACAAACTATCCAACTGGCTCTGCGCCGACATTCAT